TCATTGGCGCAGATCTGACAAAATCTAATTAGCGCATTAATGTTTTCACGGCCTACTTAACAGTTAAATCGACTAAGTACATTCTTGATACAGAAGAAGAAATTGATATCTTGGATAAATTTCCTAGTTCAGGGTATTCTCATATAAGCTCTTCTCCTGTCTGAAAGAGACACAAGTGTGATTAATTAATGAGTGAGATTAGTAGGACCCAAAATGACCATTTAAGGAAGAGTATCATCAGAAGCCACGTGTATCATCAAAACCGGTCACACATCTACCTCGTCGAATCTTTTCCGATTTTCCTATTACAAACTTCATTACTTTTGTCCTTACCAAAAAAAAAAACTTCATTACTTTTGTCGTTTTTCGTTATTAAATAATCGATGCAAGTTTTCCCATCGTATTCATTGATATAGTGATTATCTGTTCGGTTGGGTTGATTTGGTTTTTTGGTCGAAATTTTGGTTGATTGAACGGGCATGTTTTTCTTCTCGTTCTGTGCTCACTAGTAAGATTAACTGAGCCAAACGTATCACATGGGGCTCAAAGAACTAAAACTAGAGAAGACTCCTAAAAGAAATAAAACAAGACTCTTACACCTTACTTCGTATTTCGATATATAAAGAAGAGCATGCGCGCTCAGAGACATAAAAAAACCGGAGATTTCTTGTTGATAAGGAATTTTGATGGGAGAATTGCATTTAAAGACATAATCAATGCAACATATGACTTTGACATTAGATATTACATCAGGAGTGGAGATTATGGTGGTAGTGTCTATAGAGCATGATTGCGAAATGGGAATATCATGGCATTGAAGAAACTTCACCGTCCTGATGCAAAGGACCCATCTTTTGATAAGAAGATGCGAAACGAAGTGAAACACTTGATGGAAGGCTGGAAAATTGGTCCATGACCTTTCCCTTACGATGGGTTAGAAATTTTTGGGGCCAAGCATCACCAATAAAAGGGTCACAAAGACCATGACTTCCCATGAACCGTTGAACACGGAATTATCCAAAAACCAACGCACATGAAACCCCAGAATACCCCATGCATGCTTGCTGGTTTTAAATCTTTTTTCTTAGTATGGTATGCTGATTTAAATTCTAGTCGAATCATAAAACTGTCAAATTTAGAGATTGCGTGAGTAGAATAGAATATACTACTTGTCAGAAAATTTGTGCTACAACTCTAGAAAATCAATCACTTAAATTACATCGGCGATTTTCCTTACTTGAAAATCCATTGTGTCCATTGTGGCATTAATTTAATATTAAAACATCCGACGTGACTCATCGCAAAGTAAAGTCACGTAGGAATTTTCAGCAAAAAAAATTATCGATGTAACTTAAGTGATTTGCTTTTAAGACTTATGATAGTTAAATGATCGCATAAATAGCTATCGCATCAAAGTGAGTACTGTAAAAAAATTACGACATTATTAGTATCTTTATCCCCTCCAATTTTATCAAGCAACCGAGGGTCGGAAGCCATGAAATTCAAGCGACGTCGTGACAACTGGCTTGAGATTTTATCTGTAGCCATCGTTGATTTTATTTTGCATGATGTCCTACTGAACTTGAAATTTAACTTCTATTAAGGTAGTTAGAGCAACTCATGGGATATGAGCTATTTACATTGAGCAATCAAACAAGTTACTAGCACATGGGATATATGGGTAATTGACTTGCTATCACAATGCCGAAAACCTTGACACATAGTCCAAAATAAAGTTATTAAATTTTTTTGTTTTTGTTTTAATGACAATACAAAGTAATCGGACTGTTTGACTTAAACAAATATCACAAATGCACATAATTCGCATGTTCATATATATCTTGTAAAGCTTTGGCCATAGGGTGACCAGCGAGAATTTTCTGAATGTGAGACAGTAGGACAGAATCCATTGTATATAAATTAAGCATTTAGTCAGTTAACCAATAATTCGAGTTTTAAAAACAAAATGATTCGATTAAGATGAAAGTTATGACCGAATTATTTCGATCACAGAGTCGTTTTTCGAACAATCGTTCTTGATATTAGATGTGAAGTCCGTTAGGCCCCTCTATGGAGACAAACTAAAGTAACGTGTGTTTCACAACAAGGAAGACTTCAAGTCGTCTCGAAGAACAAGACGAAATGTCGGAGAAAAAAGTAAACAAAATAGAGATTCTGGGATTCTCTGTGATCCATCCGAAGGAGGACAAGTTATGAGTCAATAATTACCCTTTTATATCCCACAAGTTATTTCTTTTTCTTTCTTTTTCTGGTTGGTCGCAAGTTATTTCTTTGGATCCGCCCGTGATGGTCACCGGTAACCCTCGCCAACCTTGAAAAAAAAAAAAAAAAAGAAAGAAAAATAAAAATTAAAAGATAAAGAAAAATAAAAATTAAAAAAATCAATAAAATAACATTAAAAAAATCTACGTCGGATGAAAAATTAAATAAAAAATCCACGTAAGCTCATTTGCCGGAAATGGCACTCAAGTGATCCATTTTCGCCGGAAGTGATACTCAAATAATTTATTTTACTCCGATGTGGTACTCAAGTGAGCGTCGTACAAAAATTATGGCACTCCTAGTGTCCTTATCCCGAGAATAATTTATTTGACAGTCATTTATTTTTTGTCAATGCATGATAAGTGGTGTTGTGTTGTTGTGGCCACGAAAATTAGGCAACGTAAGGATACTCACTACGTGTTATTCGGGATCATTTCTGTTTAGTTGAAGGCTTGCTAGTCAATTAAAGGCGGCAAATTGATCAACGTTTCCTTTTCGATGGCCAAGGATCCGACATCACGAAAACAACAAAAGACCACGACGATTATTCTAGACGAACCGTGTCTCTTGGTCCGGCAATCAATACATGTCCAAAGACCTTGACTTGTTGACTTTTGAGGAGCGTACTCGACAAAGACCTTGACTTCTGGAATTTGTGCAACTTCCATGTGTAAGCTGGTTCAACTTCTAATGGAATCATCATTAGTTAACCGTGAAGCTTACGATGGAGGGCCTGCCACTTCGCAATCACGATGTTGCGGAATCAGAGTTCATCCATTATAAAGACAAAATCAACCGTATATATTAATTTATGTCTTGAAGTTTTGTAATAATGAACGCAACCTTTAAATTTAATCAGAATGGATGAACACAAGGACACAGAGACATGGAAACCCATCGACATAAAACCCAAAAAATAAATAAAGAAAAGAACCTTAAAATCATAAAATCATTCTTTTTTCCGCCTTGAAATCTCGTATGCCGCATTTTCTGTATACCTCAAGCACGCTTCCAATGAACGAGAGTTCATGATGCTATTCATTAATTATGATTCTCCCCAAATGATCGTTATCGGTGTTCAACCCACATGGAACGTGATCCAAAATTCTTCCGAAGATATTTAACATCTTATTCAACAAAGCTCTTCTCCATTTGCCTTGTCGAAAATATTTTTTCGGGAAAACATTTTTCTTATTTTCTAGCCATTAGATCGCTTAGGAAAATGAGTTAACGAAAAATGTTCTCATTATCAATGGAAAATGTTTTCCTATCAAAACTTAAAATCAGGAAAATAATTTCTTTTTTAAAAAATCGGAAATAATTTTTCAAAATGTGATTAGGTATCGGTGCTTAGACTAGAAACGCTGCACTTGGGCATGAGAACCCCAATGCTTGTTCCTGGGTCCTTGGCAGCGGGGCTAGGTCTCGACGCTATGGCCCGAGTCCATATAGGTTGTGCCAGGGTTCATCGAGGCCGAGGTCGGGACACTGATGCCCATGCCCGGGACACCAGGCCCGGTAATATCGAGGTCAAGCCTGGGTCCTTGACGCCTGTGCCTGGGTCCATCGAGGCCAAATTTTTTTTTATAAAAATTTCCGTACCAAATTATGAAAAATATTTTCCAATTCATTTTCAGATCTTAGCCAAATACTAGAAAATATTATTATTTTTCTGAAAAATGATTTCTTGACTAACATTTTTAAAAAACGTTACATTTTTCTTGAAATAAACGGAGCCGAAACCCCATTCTAGCAAGACCATCTTACTTCGTTCAACACAACGAAAGCCCCAAACAGCTGCTCTCTCTCTCTCTCTCTCTCTGTCTCTCTCTCTCTCATTCATGTCTCAGTCGAGTTAAGAGCAGCGGCAGTGGTGCGACTGCGACGGTGGCAGAGTGGCGGGCAGAGAGAGAGAGAGAGAGATTTTTTGCCCAATTTATCTCATGTAAATTGCCACCTGAGAATATTGCCACATGGTGCATTTTTAAGTGGAGACTTGCCTAAAAGGGCAGAAAATCGTCTACTGCCAAAGCTGTTATAATTATGTTTTCTACATTTGCTTAGAGAAGGCAGTAGATATACCGACATGCTTTTGGAATTTGTGCTTGGCTTGTATTATGGGATTTAGCGCGTTTTATCTACTAAAAAAAGAGTCGCCTCATTTTTTCATAGTTCGTTAAATCTTGTCACAAAAAAATAAAGATAAAATTGAATTTGGCAGAGAAAAATTCTATTGTTCTACATATAAAAATAAGATTTTCTTTTTCCGAGTAGGTAAATTTCAATAAGTATTGTAGGTATAGAAAAAGATGTTGATAACCGACTTTTTTCAGGTAACTCGTTGGTAATATTTAAAAAGAATTGGTAAGACCTGGCGAAATAATGTTGGACATGTAGTTTTGGGTTTGCGGGGGTGCTGAAACTTGGATTGGTTCGCAGACTAATTCAACTTTGTAGTGATTGGTGTCCCTTTTTCAGCCCTACGAGATGATGGCAACTCCATCATCTCTAAACAAAAAGGAAGGAAAAAGTCCGACAGAGTCTATACTTTTGTGAGTCTAAGAGAGTTACGGTTGAACGTAAGTGTGTCGAGCCATTAAAAAGATGAACGCGTGAACCGTACAAATCGCGTTTCCTTTGGCGCGTCAGCACAGTAGTGTCTTCTTGCTTTTCTTTATATAAGTGCAGTATAACACGTGACTGAACAAGACCCTGTTTCTCCGACTACAGCGAAAGAAGAGGTCACCCCTTGATGAGCATAATCTGCAACATGTCCTTAGTTATTGTACTGATTACTACCATAGCTTTCTCCTGCTACAATCCAATTGTTGCAGCAGCAGCGCCTTCTAATGAGTCAGAGGCAAGTGCGCTTCTCCACAGCGGGTGGTGGCCTCCCTCCGTCACCGGCGACACTTCCTTACCTCATTGCACATGGCCCGGGGTATCGTGCGACGCCTCTGGGACCGTCAACGGAATTCACTTGACAACTGAGTACCAAATAGGAGGTAATTTCAGCAACATGAACTTCTCTCTCCTTCCGAACCTCGCCTTTGTCCAACTCTTTCACACCGGACTAGCCGGCGAAATCCCCATTCAGATATGTACTCTGTCGAGGCTAACTTACCTTGACTTGTCCTACAATTCTCTCACCGGTGAGTTGCCTCCTTGTGTCCAAAACCTCACCATGCTTCAATTTCTTGATATCAGTAATAATCAAATCAGCGGCGCAGTCCCTCCGACTGTTGGTTGCTTGCACAATTTACGATCCCTCATATTTGGTGGCTCTATCCCTCTAGAACTTGGAAACCTCACAAAAACAGATTATGTCGATTTAAGTTCCAACAACTTCACTGGTCCCATTCCGTCGTCTATAGGGAATTTGACGAGCTTGACCCATCTCTATTTGCAAAAAAACAAACTCAGTGGATCTATTCCACCGGAAATAGGCAATTTGGAGAGCTTGGTCGTGCTGAATTTACGGGAAAATAGATTTATTGGTGCCATCCCATCGGGAATAGGAGACTTAAGGAATCTCGAATTTCTAGACTTATCATTCAATCATCTCAAGTGCCCCATTCCAGACAATTCTCCTTCTGGTTCAATTCCCACATTTCGAAGCACATTATTATATGATCTTAACTTATCATGCAATCATCTCGAGGGCCCAATTTCAGCTCCAGATAGTCTCGGGGCTTATTATCCTGGTAACTTTTGTCTCGGTAACCAAGATTGCAACCAGTTTGACGAAACCCAAGCCCACAGAAGAAGGTCTAGCGGAGTTCATTACATGACGATGTTCATTCTGCTAGCTACGATATTCATTTCCTGTATAGTTGTTGGATCTTGCTTCCTATTTCGACGCGCAACAAAGAGCGTGCAATCAGAGACTTCTGAGAAAAATGGAAATTTCTTGTCAATATGGAATTATGATGGGAAGATTGCATATGAAGACATAATTAATGCGACGGAGGACTTCGACATCAAATATTGCATCGGGACTGGCAGTTATGGCAGCGTCTATAGAGCGCGATTGCCCAATGGGAAAGTCGTGGCATTGAAGAAACTTCACCGTCTTGAAGCGGAGGACCCGTCCTTCGACAAGAGCTTTCGGAATGAAGTGAAACACTTGACAGAAGTAAAGCATAGAAGCATAATCAAGCTCCATGGTTTCTGCTTACACAGGCGATGCATGTTCTTGATTTACGAATACATGGAAAGGGGAAGTCTATTCTGTGCTTTGAGAGATGACGTCAAAGCGGTGGAATTGGATTGGTCCAAAAGAGTCGATCTCGTCCGGGATACGGCACACGCTTTGTCTTACATGCACTACAATTGTGCTCAGCCAATTGTTCATCGAGACATATCTAGCAACAACATCTTACTAAACAGCAAAATGCAGGCTTTTGTATCAGATTTTGGCACCGCAAGGCTTCTGGATCCTCATTCCTCGTCTAACTTCACCGCAAATACCGCTGGCACCTATGGATATATTGCACCGGGTGAGCAATACTTCATGCTTCATAAGTTTTTCTCTTTAATCCTGAAAGTTACTAGTAGAGGAAAAAATCCGATAAGTAAATATTTGTCGGAATAGTCAAGATTTCTCGATGTTGTATTACATCTATATGGGTATTACTAATTCATTCATTTCTATTCACCGTTTTATTGTGGAAATTAAATTAATTGTTTTTAAAGGAAAATTGGAGGGGTAAATGGAACGGGGTGGGGTGCTGCACATAGTTATGTGGGGTGAGGACGGGGAGGGAAAAGTTGCTCCTCCCGGGCAACAACGGGGCGGGGGTAAAGGTGCAACCATCATGTCCGAAGCCTCAACCGCCAAAATTTTTGATGTCTTTTGTATCTTTTCTTTCCAGAACTCGCGTATACTTTGGTCATTAATGAGAAATGCGACGTATATAGCTTTGGAGTGGTAGCAGTGGAAACGATGATGGGCGAGCATCCAGGAGATATTGTATCTACGTTGTGGACATCCTGTGGAGAAGATATCATGCTACATAAAATCTTAGATCCGCGGTTACCTTATCCAAGAGAGAACTCTGTCGCAAGAAGTATTGTTCTGATAGTTTCTCTTGCGCTCGCTTGCTTGAGTGCTAATCCAAAGTCCCGACCAACTATGAAGCAAGTCTCGGAAGCTTTTCTAGCTCGAAAGTTACCCTTGGCGAGGCCCTTCCATGAGATCTCATTGGCTCAGCTCCGAGATAATAACAGATCATGGATGTAAGGTGAATCAACAGAAGCTTCATCAGGACTAAGGGATGAGCAAGGGGTTATTAAGTGTTTGTCCAAATAAAGAGTTAGATTGATTAAATGATGCTGCAATTTGGTGAAAGTGATTCAGGATATAAAAGTGTATGGCTTCTGCACATAATTAAGTCATGTAAAACTTTTTTCCGTACTATGCTAGAGGAGTGAGAAGCAGTTTATATAGGACATCCGTTCATTTTTCTTCTTTTCAATAAGATTGAAATGCATGATTAATAAACAATGCATCAAGAAATAAAGAGACCCGCACCAGTCCCAACATAATACACGAGAACCCGTACACAATTTCTACCACGTAATTGATTCCATTTAGATGTTTGCTCAATAATTGATGCAAGTTTTCAAATTGAATTTACTGATTTAGCGGTTATCCGTTCATTTTGGTTGGACACAACGTATTACAAGTGGCTCAAAGAAATCAAATTAGAGAAGACTCTCAAAAGATACGGGTGAGGTGGAAAACTTGTAAATAGGTTTTGGGGCCGCCAAAATTGAACTTAGGCGAAGTATGTCGAAAGCTGTTTTTGACTTGAGTTGTCTTGTTCCACTGACCATATAATTTCAATAGATAGTCTTTGTGTTGCAGTTCCTAGCAATTTCTCAGCAGTCTTTGGTGACACTAAACGAAATAATTAAAATGGGTTATGAATGGATTAGTGAATGATTAGAAGGAACAGCAGAAGTTCAATTACTCAACAACAACAGCGTCCTCCAAGCAATAATCCTCCATACTTTTCTAAATGTTGTAACTAGATGCACATAGCTAGATCGATATACTATACCCCCATGTGGTTAACAACATCATTGATGTTTCATCATGCTGACAAATATGTCCTTTGATATTACACTAACTAACATTGAAAACATGGTTTTGAGCCTCATCTAATTCATCAACTTTTTGTCCTTTCCTTAGAGTTCACTTACACTTTGGTCATCAATGAAAATTGTGACATATAAAGCTTTAGAGTGGCAGCAATGGAAACAAAAATGGGCGAGAATACAGGTGATGTCATTTTGATGTTGTCAGCACTCCTCAAAGAAGATATTATGCTACATCAATTATTAGACTCGCGCTTGCCAATCCCAAGAGTGAATTCTATCGCAAGAAATATCGTTCTAGTAGTTTCTGTGGCACTTGCTTGCTTAAGTAGCGATCCAAAGTCACGACCCACAATGAAACAAGTTTCTGAAGCTTTTCTGGCTCCAAAACCAGCGTTGGCCAAGCGCTTCCATTCAATCTCACTTGCGCAGCTCCAACAAATGAATCGAGTGAGTATGGTGGGAAGGTGGATCAATGGAAACTTCATCAAGCCTACAAGAAGAGCAAGGACCATGCAGTACTTGTCCCAATAGTAGCATATAAAATTCCAACCAGTGAAGAGTTGATTGATAGAATGATGCTGCAAATTGGTGATTGTAGTTGAGGATACAAAGGATACGGCTTGTGCAATTTTAAGTCACGTCAAACTTTTTTTAAACTAGCTAGGCTAAAATCTACCTAAGTAGCAATGTGGAGTGAGAATCATTTATCTGACAGTAATTTATTTTTTGTCTTTACAGTAAGATCGGAATGCATGATAAGTGGTGTTGTGTTGTTGTGGCCACGAAAATTAGGCAACGTAAGGATACTCACTACGTGTTATTCGGGATCATTTCTATCTAGTTGAAGGCTTGCTAGTCAATTAACGGCGGCAAATTGATCAACGTTTCCTTTTCGATGGCCAAGGATCCTACATCACGAAAACAACAAAAGACCACGACGATTACTCTAGACGGACCGTGTCTCTTGGTCCGGCAATCAATACACGTCCAAAGACCTTGACTTGTTGACTTTTGAGGAGCGTACTCGACAAAGACCTGGACTTGTGGAATTTGTGCAACTTCCCTGTGTAAGCTGGTTCAACTTCTAATTGAACCATCATTAGTTAACCGTGAAGCTTACGATGGAGGGCCTGCCACTTCGAAATCATGATGTTGCGGAATCAGAGTTAATCCATTATAAAGAAACAATCAACCGTATAAATTAACTTATGTCTTGAAGTTTTTAATAATGAACGCAGCCTTTAAATTTAATCAGAATGGATGAACACAAGGACACAGAGACATGGAAACCCATCGACATAAAACCCAAAAAGTAAATAAAAGAACCTCAAAATCATAAAATCACTCATTTTTCCGCCATAAAATCTCGTATGCTGCATTTTCTGTATATCTCAAGCACACTTCCAATGAAAGAGAGTTCATGATGCTATTCATAAATTATGATTCTCCCCAAATGATCGTTATCGGGGTTCAACCCACATGGAACGTGATCCAAAATTCTTCCGAAGATATCTAACATCTTATTCAACAAAGCTCTCATATGAAGGCTCCGTTTGTCTTGTTGAAAATATTTTCCGGGAAAATATTTTTCTCATTTTCTAGCCATTAGATCGCTTAGGAAAATGAGTCAACGAAAAATGTTCTCATAATCAACGGAAAATGTTTTCCTATCAAAACTTAAATTCAGGAAAATGATTTCCTTTTAAAAAATCGAAAATAATTTTTCAAAATGTAATTAGGTATCGGTTCTTGGACCAGAAACGCTGCACTTGGGCACGAGAACCCCAACGCTCGTTCTCGGGTCTTTAGCAGTAGGGCCAGGTCTTGACGCTATGGCCCGAGTCCATATAGGTCGTGCCTAGGTTTGTCACGCCCCAAACCCCATCGAGCTCGCGACATCTCCCTCTCAGGTCGTATTAGTGCGATGTCCCAGGAAACGTCGCCGACCTCACGATTCCATCAGAGTTCGATCACGGCGGAAACCAATGAAATAAACCCGGACAATAAAATTGGAGAACACCAGGAAGAAATAAATCACCAAGCCACCAAACATAAAACTATACATCGATATATAAATATACAACATTCAATTCTTTACAACCAAACACTTCCAACACCCATTAGGTTTACATCAACTGATAGTACACACCCGAACGGATTTCCTGATTACACCACCAACTATTCACATCAAGCTCTCCCTAATTTAATATCAAACTCATAATACACGCACACCAACTCGCTCCTACGGATCGCGTCCTCAACCTCATAAAGGGATTAGCAGCCAAGGTATATTCTACTCCTGAATGCTCGGTGTGCATCGGGATTCCAAAACGTTGCGGCAGTAGCGGCGGAAGATTCAAGGCTCGGGCGGGTTCTCTGAAATAGTTTGGTTGAAACAACCATGAGACACTTCTCAATAAGTCACAACCTAAACCCTACCTAGGCTACCACGTATTCCAGACAAGTTCAGACACACAAACGAGCAACACGAACAAACACTATCCACGCAATCACACTTACCTGGACCCTTGGCATACTCAGCCTGCACGTTAGTTCATGATCACAACATTCAAAACTCGCACGCATTTCAAACTTCGCGCACCCCAAACCACACACATTTCAATGCCAAAAACACACATCGATCACGCACTATCACATCAATTTCATTTACTTTCCTCATCGTACCCCACTAGCTCAATCACTTTCTTGGCCCGCGTAAACACGCCTCAGGCCCACACGATCGCGCCCCGAGCATCACACGCCTCGGTCCGATCCCACTTTCTCTTACCATACCACACACCCCATTCTCAATCACATTCCTCGGCCCGCGTAAACACGCCTCAGGCCCACACGATCGCGCCCCGAGCATTACACGCCTCGGTTCGATCCCATTCACACGTTCTTTCCTCAGCCTGCGCCAAATGCGACAGGCCTACGTGATCGAAACCCGAGCTTATAATGCCTCGGTTCGATCCCGGTCTCACCCGAGCTGATCGTGCCTCAGACCGATTTCATTCTCACTTTCTTTTCTCAGTCTGAGCCAAATGCGACAGGCCTACGTGATCGAAACCCGAGCTTATAATGCCTCGGTCCGATCCCACAATCACATCACAACTCGCGTCAACACGCCTCCGGGCCTTTTAGTGATCACACGCACATCACACGCCATAAATTTCACACGCGTGCATACTCATGTATTAAATATGCGCACTCAGAGGCGCCCAAATCAATCAAATCAATTCAGCCACATCACAACATACAACCAACACGCAATTTGCCCTTTTTCGACACCAAAACTACGATATCTCACTCACGGCCCTTCACAGCACTTTCACGAAATTCCGAGCCGGATCTAACGGCACCAACCGAACACCAAACAGCACATCACAGCACTCAAAACAGCAATTTTCAGCCACCAATCGGCCTCTAAAAATCCACCAAAATCTACCGATTTTAATCCTAAGGTCCGCCAATCGAATTAACCCCTAAACTACACCAAATCACGTCCAAACGGGTCTGATAATACCCGATATACTAGGCGGGGTTTAGATTGCAACTTACCGGACTCTAGACTAACTCGGCTAGAGCGGAAAGCGGTGGCAATCGGCGGGGACGGCGGCGGCGCGGCTCGGCGGTGGCGTGGATGGCGCGCGGCAGCGGCGACTTCCTTGGCCGTGACCCACGGCCACACGAGAGAGAGAGAGAAAACCGGGAGGAAGAGGGGATGGCGTGAGGTGGTGGCGGTGCGGTACAGCGGAGGCGGAACGGCGGACGGGCGGTGGCCGGTGGCGACGGTGCGGCGGCGAGCGGCCAAGGGGAAAGAGAGAGAGAGCTCTCGGTTGGGGGGGTTGCCGTGAGGTGAGAGAGAGAATGAGGAGAGAGAGAGAGGAATTTGGACTAAAATAGTCCAATTTTGACCCACTTGGCAATTTACCATCTTGCCCCTCTCTAATCTTTTTAATCAACGGCTGAGATTCGATCTTATCTTGAAATCAACGGCCCGGATCGAATCTTTTCCAAAATATCCAAGGGCAATTTGAGAATTTCTCAAAGAGTCCAAGGGCAAAATTATCCAACTCAAAAGTTAAGGCAAAATGACCAAAACGCCCTTCCCTCTTAAAACTTGCCCTTAACAAATTCTTAGGGGTAAAATGGTCACTTTCCTCATTTCTCGTCAAAATCGAATTTTTCTAAAGGATTCGGGAAAATCCGAAGCTGTACGTTCCAACCACAACGTCGTCCTAACGTCCCGTTGTGACTTCCTAATTTTCCGATGTCCAATTTGGGCTCAAATAAATAAATGAATTTTATATAACGTAACTCGAGCGATTCTCAGACTAACGGGTGGCTTTCGGGGAAATTCGCCTATTCGACTCGTGACTGATACTAAATCAAGTCACGTGCAAGTCCATTCGGATCGTGACGACCTCGGTGGTCACGCCCCGAACCCTACGGACACGCAACATCCCG